AACAACCAACTGTTTCAACAACACCAGCACTTGATAGAGTGCTAGCTGACATTGAGCGTGAACATGCTTCTGTTCAACCTCACTCTGAACCACCAAATATTCCTCCTCCACAACCTGAACCAGAAATTCAACCTGAACCAGAAATACAACCAGAACATCAACCAGAACCAGAACCACAATCTCAACAACCAATCACAGAAGAACCTCTGATCCCTGAGCAATCAGAGATTCCACCCCCTCAACCAGAAAATAATCCTCCCTCACCTCAAACAGAGTTTCACCGCTATGAAACCCCATCTCCTCATCATTCTGATCCCCACTCATCTCAACCTTCACCGCTGGCAATACAGTTGCCATGTGGAACCACCATTGTCAGACCCCAGTTACCATCATCAGAGGAATCAACACCTCCAAAAACTCCAACCACTCCAATAGATATATCCTCTGACTCTGATAACCATCCTCCAAAACAAACAGCACCTCAGCACTCCTCTGAAAACCAATCCTCTGAAAACCCCAGCAAAACTTTCATTGACTTAACAAGTCTTGAACGTCTTGCTGATTTAAGACACAAATTGGCCATTCCCAAACCAAAGCAACTAGATGTTGGCTCTGGTATTTTGGACTTTGAAACAGGTATGCTGCAATGGATTGCTTCCTTGAAGCAAGTCTGTCCGGGGATGATCGACCCAGCTGCTTCTGATCAGCTCTGGTCACAGTTCAGAGTATGGGTTCGTGCTGAAGCACTCAAGCTGCAGGACGTCAACTATGAGCAGGCTCAACAGAACTTTAGCAAGCTGCTGAAGGAAGTTGAGAGTCAGCTGCCTCAAGAAGTTGTGCTCCCTCTGGACTCTGAATCGTGGTCTGAGAAAGAGCAAGCTGCACAGGTGCAACCTTCAGAAGAAGACAAGACTCTTCAGGAAGAAAATCCAGCAGAAGATGTAGCTGAAAGTTCTGAGAAGCTTCCTCCTGGTGAAAGTTCTCAAGCTGCCTTGGACAGGCAGGCTCTGGAAGAATTAAGGCTGAATGACTTGCGTCTACAGCAGCGGATGGAAGAGAATGATCAGAAGATGGAAGCAAGAATGAATGTCCAGGACAGCAAGATTGATACTGTTGTCACCATGGTTCAGAAGCAGAATGAAACTTCTGAAAAGATTCAAGCAATGCTGGAAAGCCTGTTCTCACGCATGCCCCCACAACCTTGAAATTTTTTTTCATGCATGACATTCTCTATATTTTCTTCATTTTCTGATGTACTTTTGACTATGTTTTGACTATGCTTGTGTAATGTTCTTTGCTCTGAACTATTTTTAATATAATTTGTTTTTCTGATCTAAATTGTTTTAGCACATCACTAACACTTTTTGATTGCTGACAAAAAGGGGGAGAACAAGAATGATATTTAAAATCAATAACGGCTAACCAGACAGAAACTCTCAAACATTCTAACTCTATTACTTGAAATGTTTTTCCGTTTTGTTGTTAAGTCTACAGGCACAAGGAAGCTCCGAACACTATGAAGACTAAGAACTAGAAGCTCTGATCAAAATGTAAAAGCTCATGTTGCTCTGATCAAATATGAAGTTCTGATATATGAAGCTCTGATCGTCCTAACACTCTGATCCGAAGCAAAGCTCTGACAGGAAAAGCTCTGAAGCTCTGCTCTCTGATAAGTCAAAGACTTATAATCTGATGCTCAAAGATAGAAAAAGATCTGACTCTGAAGAACACGCATATCAAAGGGAAGTAACAAACTCAGGGGGAGTATCTCTTAACTCTGACTTCTCCGTACTTCTTATTCTGATACATAGCTCTGATAACTTTTCACGTTATTTTTTCATTTAAAATATCTAGTTTTTGTCATCATCAAAAAGGGGGAGATTGTTAGAACAATGTTTGAATCTAGTACCCTATATTTAAGTTTTGATGATAACAAAGTGAAAAGATATAGTAGTTAAATATTTTATGATTGAATTATATGCTGCCTAAAATTACTATGCTCTGACTTGCAGATATGCTGATTAAAATAAGCAAGATCACGTTATCAGCATCAGAATATGATTTCATACACCAGCATCAGAAGTTGCTGAATCAGAATGTCAAGATCAGATGATCAACGCTTGCACATGCTGAAGCTTGATGAACAGAACTGCGCGTAAAACACTCTGATACAGAATCAAATTAGTTCATCAGCAGCGAAGCAGAATCAGAATGAGCCAAGCCAGATCGTGCATTGAAGAAGCAACGGTACTGTGCATTGAAAGCTAATCAATACCAACGGCATCATTCTAGACAAGATCTGCTCAAAAAGGAAAGCTTGTTAATAGCATTGAATCAAGAATATTTGCTTCAACGTTCATCTTCTCAAGTGCTATATAAACCAAGCTTTGAAGATTATCACGGCTAATGCTTCCAAACTCTCTACACGCACAAAGCTGAACAATAATCTTCACTCTACAAGTTTTGCTAAACCAACAAACTCTGATACCTTATTAGCGTTTAGCAACCTAGTATTCTAAGCTTCATTTGTGTAAACATCACAGTTGTGATATAGTTTTTGTAGAAAACATTCACACACATTTGCTTATACCTTTGTAAGAAAGTGTTGCCTTGACAAACCGGATTGTGGTTTGAATCAAGAAGGTTTTAGCAGTTGCTAAAGCATATTTGTATTCAGTTGAATATAGTGAATTAAGACCTCGTTGGAGAGAGGCGAAATCACCTTGACGGGTGGACTGGAGTAGTTTGAGATCAAACGAACCAGGATAAAAATACCTTGTCATTTGCTTTAAGATTCCAGTTTTACAATTCAACCCCCCCTTCTTGTGTTTTTCACCCCTTCATGTGTTTCCCTTTTATCTGATAAGAAAACCTCAAAACAAGATTAGACATAAAGAGGGCGCAACCCTAATACCTCGAACCAAAGTGCCTGATTCCATGAGATGCGGGATATGCAAATGATTGGGTAATAAAATGATGCAAATGGAATGCAAAGCCCAAAGCCAGACAAAAAAATAAAAGAGATAGGGCAAATTTGGGGTACAACATTCATACAATAAAGGCCTTAAATTGTTTAGCGTTCATACATTTTAGGAGTGGTAAAACTCTTCCTGAAATGACTCGTCCAACGTTAGGAGAACCCCCTCCCCAGAACAATGTTCCAAATGTAGAAGAATAACCAATCAATTCAACGGTTGGTAGTGCAGGAACTTCAACAATCGTTGGAGTAACATCTTCTTTTATAAGCTAAATATTAGTGCCGACGATATCACCAGAAGTGACAGTTTCCCAAACCCATTCAAAGATAAATCCAACTACTCCCAATTACACAACCGGTTATAAGAGACCCTATACCTACCTTTTAAAAATATTTTACGCTACCCCCAGGTAGTAGGGATTATCCTTATGGAATTCCAACTATAATGATGACAAACCTACAAACTAATGCATCGGCATATGCAGATAATGTAATTTCTATTGTATCACCTCTTCATCCATAATTAGCGTCATGATCTGCTATAAGGAATCATAGTCGAATGGCACAACCAAAACGAGGGTTATGATATGTCCCTCAAGTTATGCCACTATTGACGACTATTTCCCTTTTATACGTGAGGCAAAAATAGATGAAATTAACCATGATATGGTTAATATTCTTATGCACCAAATTGATACTGTGTTTAATCCTTTGATCCAAAACATAAACCATAGTTACCAACTATTTGCTCACCAAATGGGTCGAATTACTGATTTCCTTGGTGCTTCTCAAGCGTCTATTCGACCAATCCCTCAAATCTAAAATGTTAGGCCAACTCATAATCCAGGAATGCCAAACAATGAGGGGATTCCTAATGATCAAGGACGACAAGTTATGCCTCAACAGGTCAAACAACCCATACCCAGGGTGGTCGAAGATAAATTAGGTCAAAATGGCTCAGAGCTAGTATTTGTTAATATGAATCAAGATGCAGATCAAGTAGTTAGAAATATCCAACAAATAATTGGGGGGGGGGGGGGGGGTTGCAAAATAATATTTCCAACATGGTCGAACAGATTTTTACCAAAAAATGGCCTTAGTGTTAGCCTTCATAAGCCCAATTTAATTTATGCCTTGTCTAAATATGTTCTACAAATTGAACTTCTCTGAGGTTGGAAGATTTCTAAATTTATAAAGTTTACATGAGACACTAATGAGATATCAATCAGAGGAAAAAGATCTAGCCAACAATTAAAACTCGAAAATGAAGTAGTTCATGTCATAACCCAATTTTGCTCTAGGGTCATTCATTCATCGCATTTGCATCATTAGTTGGTCATTCATATATTTAGATTGACCAAAAGTCAATTCTTAAATCAACATTTGCATTGTTTAAAGTTAAAAAAAACTTGTTATTTCACTTCATTCATTTTTATCTCTTTACCTGCTTCATGCATTGTGCTAAGTAGTTTATATTTCGATAATATTGATATTTCGGTTCTACAGGCAGACTGTTAAAAGCTATTTGACCTTGTGCAAAAAATTAGCGGGTAAATATTTTGAGTTTTTATCATTTACTATCAGTTTTATGAATATACGTTGTGCGTAGATCATGTCGGTATGCTCGCTTTATTTTTTGGGTACATTTTACAGTCTCTTTTTTAATTGTCAACGTTTCTTCAATCAAATATTGTTATTCTCATTTTTATTTCGGTTTTGATCATTTGCAGTCTTTTTTATTAACCGTTGTGACTTGTAGTTTATTTTAATGTGTTCATTTCTTTTTTCCGATTAATTAATTATCTATTTTTAATCGTTTTTTAATTATTTTAGATCTCTGTTTTTTATTCAAAAAATTAAATCAAAAATATTTTTAAATGCGTTAATTTTTGGTCTTTTAGTTTTTAGGTTGATTTTTATCAAAAAGCATTTTTGCCATTTATTAAAAATTGAAAACCTAATTGTATTAGTATTTAAAGGATAGAATAGGAATTATCAGGGGCAGATAAACAAATAGCATATCTTGATCAAAACTCAGAGAACAAAAACCCAAACAGGGCCTTCCTCACAAGCGATACTCCCTCCAATTCTCACCACACATTCCACCTCAACCTGCCATTCACGAAAACCACAGACCCAGAATCACACTTCCTTCCGTGAACTCGTCATCATCTCCCCAACTCTGCAACTCAGTCACCTCCACCGAATGTCCAGCACACCGCCGTTCTTCACCTGTCCACCCTCTCCGCATACATCACCACCAATTGCCTTCGTCCCCTTCCATCTAGCTGCACGCAACACATACTTCTCCATCAGACTACCACAAACTTCATCTATCCTCCGTGAATCACACAACAACACAGACACCGTCTACCACACTTCTCAGCTTCGTATTCCCTCTATCAATAGCTTAACAACACAGTCCCACCATTTCATCACTTCACCTCATATTTTGTGAGTTTTGGGTAACGTCACATTTCCTTTTATTTAATTTAATTTAATTTCTGTTTTAATGTTAGAATTGATAAGAAATTATGTTCATGTTATTGTGTTTGAGTGATGAATTTGTGTTGTAATTTCTGAGTTGTTTTGAATGATGAAGTTAATTGTTGATATTGTTCGTTGTTGTGTTAAATTTGTGTTGATTATTGTTGTTGAGTTATTGAGATGATATTGATTTTTGTTTGTAAATGAAACATTGAGATTGAATGAATTTCCTTATTGATAATAATGGTGTTTGGTTGTTTTGCATTGTTGAAGTTATAATGATAGATGTGATGAAAATTGATGCCATTACCATGATATCTTGTTAGGTTTTATTGAAACTTTGATTTGAGCATTATGTTGTTTGAATTAAACTTGAATAGAGTTTGATTGTAATGTTGAATTATCGAACATGTTGAATTGGAATTTGTGAGTTTCATGGTGTATGTGTTGTTGCTGCCTGGATTCAGATTTAGTTGATTTAAGATTGATTTGAATTTGATTTTTCATGTTTTGAAGTGGAATTGGACAATAACTCGAGTTAGTACTAGTTTAACTTGACTTTATTGACATTAGGATGCTAGTTGTATTGATTTTGAATGAGGAATTCAACCATGGCATTTCTTTGTTGTTTCCATTTGTGCTAAATATGTTTGAGATGAATTTTTCGAGCCTCGTTTCACATGCTTAATTGCTGCTTAGTTTTGTTTTGTATGATAAAAGTTTGTTTCAATCTTGTTTTCTCATGTCTTAAATGCATTTTGAATGCTCATTCCAGTCCATACCATGTGTTGTTTGTTTAGATGAATGAAATGATTATTTTGAAGATATGAGAAGTCATTTTAGCATGTTTTGACTCATAAACTCTAATTCTTTATTTTTCTTTTCTTGAAAGTTACTCAATCTTTGTTTACTTGATACTTGTGATGATTAGATCTTTATTCTTTCATGAGTTAAAGTTTTGTCCCTTAATTAAAATGTGTTTGAAGTTTGTCTTGAGAAACTTTCATGAGATTTAGGGTTGCAATTCATCTCTTACCACTTATTTTGTTTGTTCACATTTGTATGTTAATTACTACAATTTGATTTATGTCTTTCTTCACTTCTTCATTCATACATGTATGTTGCTTTGATTGAGAAAAATATTCAATTATACATGAAAACTAAAAGCAAGCTTCATTTGATTCATTTTAATCTCTCTTGTGTTACTAGCATCTTCATTGCTTGTGGAAGATCTCAAGATGGCTCAAATGTTCACTTCCTCTTAATATCACTTTGTTACTTTTCGTTAATTAATTAAATGTCGATTTAATTTTGTTATTAAAAATTAATTAATTTGACTAATTAATTTTTCTTAACCAAATTAATTAATTTAATTGATTCTTAATTAAATAATTAAACATTTACTTCATATCTCATTTATTCATTTAACTCTGATACATGGTTCTAACTCATTTGGACCTGAGTTCTTATTTCATATGAGACATTCAGATCATTTCTCTGTTATCCTGGCTTTGTCTGTTTGTTGGGAGTTTCATCTGACACATGGATTCTTATCCGACATTCTGAGGATCATTCGATGCTTTATCTGACACCTTGGATTTATCTGATTCACGTTCTACTTGTGATTTATTTTCACTTGATACTTGGTATACTCTTGGTTTATTATTTGCTTGCGGCTTTAATCTAAAGGATAAAATTATGTGTTGACTTTATCATGTCAAGTGTCTGCTTCTTGTTTGGTCAAACTTTTCTTACTTTAGCTTTTACTTTACGCTTTAGGATAGTCTTTTCATCTCTTCTCATTCTTCAATTTTCAAAACCTTCTTATCTTTTTCAAAACCTTATTATTTTCTTTGTTGATTACTTGTTCTCACATGTACCCTTAGGAGTTTGATTCCATCTTGTTCAAGGTGAATTAAATAGACTTTAGGTTTTAAATCAAGAATGATAATATTAGTTAGAAGTTCCCATATCCTAACCCTAGGACCATATTGCATGAAAAAATTAAGACTTAAATTTTCCCCCTAGATTATCTTTTCCCTTTTGCATTGCATTTAAAACTAAACTTCATTTTCTTTACCAAAACTCAAAACATTTAACTAATAAAGACATGAATCGTATGCAGATAAGTCTTATGGAAAAGAATGAGGTGGTACATTTCAAATCTTGTTCTTTCTTCCATTTTTGGACTTTATTACGATTCAATTCGCAAATCTTTTCACAAATAAGTGGAGAAGTAGTAAGTGTCTCTCCATTGGAATCCATTTGATATTATCTCAACAAAAACACTCAACCCATTCAAGTTTTTTTGTGCCCTCGTGTACCTTTTCTCCTTTAAAACATTGTCTAATATTAGACATGAGTCATTTATAATCGAGATGTCATTCCCATATCTCCGTGGTTGTAAAGTTTTCGACATTTCCACTTAGTGCTAGAGGTTTGTCTAAACCCTTCCTCATGATGGTGCGTTGTCATTCTTTCTCATACTTGGTGGATAATTAGTCGAGTCTTCTCTTTAAAAATGACGAATTATCTCTTCATTTAAAATCAACCAACAAATAAACTTTTTCTAGAAGAACTACAATACTCTGATTCTTTATTGCACGACAGAGATACGTAGTCACGAGATTTCAAAACCGAGGCGAGCACAATAATAAAAAACTTTTTTTTTATTAACAATTCATTCATGCATTCCCTTAGCTTGTAAGCTTTAGATTTTACACACTCTTCGATTATAACAAACATAGTGGCTCATGCAGAGTACCGTAGATGTTTAAGGTGCTAATATCTTTCTTTTCTTAATTGATCCCTGTACCTTGATCTCTATTTTTTGGGGTTTTTATTCGTTCTTTTCCTATTTCCCTTTGGAAACAATAAAGTTAAGTGATGACTTTCACTTTGTGAGTTAAGTCAATTAATGACTTAATCTTATCTTTTTGCCGTTACACTTCCCTAATTCTTCAACTAAGAATTCCTTCACATGGTTCATTATAACACTCCGATTTTGATAATTTTATTTTTAATTGAGTTTTGGATTGTTTTTCACTCATTTAATTATTTTATATAAGTTATTGAATTTTGGGTATAATGTTATTATATTTAAATTAGTGTAGAAGTGAGGAATGATAGTTTAATATTAAATTATAATTAAATATATTTTAAAATTTAATTAATTAAAAAATAAGAGAAATTGAGATTTTGGGGATAAAAATAGAATTTTTAATAAAATAAAGTGGTAGGTAGAATTAGTAAGAGTTGAGGGAAGTTGTAGAATTAATTAAAACAAAAATAAAAATAAAGTTTTTATTAATAGAGAAGGGAATGAAGAGAGTTATCAGTACGTAGAATTTTGGGAGAAAAGGCTAAGGAGAGAAAAAGGCAATCCTAAAAAAGCTATTGAAGGCAAAGAGGAACTCCATTGTCGTAGCTTCAACATTTTTGTGAATTCAACGTAAGGGGGGGTTATTAATGATATGGGTGTTTAGGCATAAAAGATAGAGAGGGTCCCTTTGTTGGAACAAGTTTGGTTTTGCAACTATCCTCGAGTTTAAATGATAACGAAGTATTGTATGTATGATACAGTGGCAGAACCGACTGTTTTTAGTGGTTTGCGTTTTGCGTTTTTTTTGTTCGCAAAATGTCGTGGTAAGCAAGAGTCGCCACCGACTTTTATTTCATCCAATCATGGAAAAGGAAAAAGAACAAAAAAAATCTTTTTTAGAGATATTCTGAGTACGGGGGGTAGATTATAAAAAGGAAAAGTGTTAGCACATTTTCTATCAGTAGTTATCTACAGGCTCTTAGGTACTTGCTTATTTTTCCAAATTGCTTGTGTGTTTGTCTTGAAAATGTTTTACTTCGTGACAACCCTTGTATCAGTCTTCAAGGATGTGACGAAGTTTTTTTTGAAAATTTGTTTTGAAATGTGTTTGTGTGAAAAGTTTTCATTGAGCAAGTACTTAAGATTCTACCTACTCAAAAAAAGATTGTTCGTTCTATTTCCTTTAGACAGCGCTATCCTATTATTAAGGAACAGGTAGCACCGTCGTTGGAGTTGTAAGGGACATTCGAAAGGGACAACTACAATCACTAAAACAATAGTTAGAAAACTTTAGTAGTAACCCTAAAGTCTTAAGATCTTTCTGAGTCAATATTTCCGAGGCAACATTCGAATGAGACAATTTGATCTTTTTAGACTGGAGGGCAACCACTAAAATCTCCTATGCTTAATGATTGTTTACCGAAAGCAATCGAAGTGAGGTAAACCCTAGGATTGGATATGTGCATATGATTTGTTTCAGTTATTTAATCTTTGCACATTAGGTGATCTATCATTTTAAATTTCAAACATTCTTTTCATACAATCTTATTAGTCATGCATCTAGACAGTTAAAGATTGCGGGAATTTAAAGTGCGAAAAATAATATCTAGCTATTACAAGACTTCAGGGAGGGGGATTAATTACATAACCAAAAGTGGGGGAAAAGCGATAAATAAAAACCCTAATTTAAAGCTATTACAAACTCTTAGCAGTTACAAAATAATGGCCAAAATAAGTAACAAGCGCGCGGCAAATTAAATACGAGGACGGTTGAAAAAATAACCTAAAACTCTAATTGAGAGAAAAAGTGTTTTTGTGGATTTTTTTTGAGAAAACATTTAAATTACAAATCAATTAAACCTAATTTCTAATTGCTTTTAAATTATGAAAGAAATTAAATTAAACTAATCTAAACTAAATTAAATAATTTCAAGAAAAATAAAATATTTTGTACAAAAAGATTTTGCAAGTTTTTTTTTATTTGAGAAAAGAAAAATAAATTGTGAAATTAAAACCTAGATTCTATTTGATTTTAAATGAAACCTAACCTACTAATTAAATTAAATAATTTATTATTAAAAAAATGTCTTTTTTGTGTTTTTGTGATTTATTGATTTTATGATTAATTAAAAAAACAATTAATTTTTTGG